TGAGTAAATAGGGAAACATGCAGCACATCATGAAATATTCAGCCAGGGTGTAAAAGCTCTAAATGCTTTTTCAATTATTAGCACCTGCACTGGCTGCATACATCTAACACTAACAGCATGTTAATTGCCACAATTTGTTAGGGTAGTTGTAGGAGAAATTTCAAAAGCATGAGGCATTCTCTAGCGTGTCTTCAGTTCCTATCTTACCTTCAGCAAACCCACTCCTTCCTCCTAAAATCAAGTATGTGTGTGTGCATACACGCGCAAACACACATCCACATCCAAAGGCAGGGAGGAAAAGTCAAAAGTCCTGGCCCGCACACAAGGTGACTTTCAAGGCCCCGAATCTCGAGCAGTAGACTTTTTGTGGGCAAAACCCAGATATAGTATATCTACCTGAGAAAGGCCTAACTGCAGACTTTAACAAACACAAGTTGAAGAGGAGTTGTGTTGTTCCCAGGGGTGTTTTGCCATTGATTTTATATAAGGAGAATTTTATTGTAGGGCAGAATAAAAAGTAGCCAAGACATTGTTTTCCTGATGTGCAAAGACTAACAGATGACAGTTTATTTTCAAACAATACCAGGGTCCTTACTGGTCATATAGTATTCTCCTTCCCAGTGCTCAACGTACTGAGCAGTTCCACTGCAGATCAATTAATGCTCAAATTTGCATATGAATGATAGCAAGAGGGTTAAGACAAAGGTGACAGAATCCAAGGATATGCTAAACAATAGTCACTTATTGAGGCAGCCATTTGGCCTCGAATGGTCTTTTCAGTTCTCTCCGTCCCCAGTCATTACTCAGAAGTTCCAGACTCAAAAACTCCAAGTAAATAAGTCTGCAGTAGTTATAAATGTGTGCTAGAAAAGCAGTGCTCTTGAACATGTCATGTTGGCTTCCTCGCAATAGGTTTGTTGGAAGTGGGATTTAGGGTTTTGCTTTAGGCCGTTGTCTTCCAGGCAGGCTTTTTGGGGTTGCAGCTGTAGCATGGCATTTAGCATCGTTTTCAAGTTTAATTGATCATAAGTGGCATTATATGCTTTTCAAAACCTTGAAAAGATGGTATTTTGCTCTTCATTTTAAGTCATGCGTATGTAATGTCTGCCATAAGAACCAGAGAAGCTATTTTTAAACTGGGGTTATGGATGAGGGAAGATTAACTTTTGCTCCTTTTCTCCCATGCATGTTACACATGCCTTTCTTTTCCTAGCTGGAATGACCAAATGCTTTGGTCATTGCAAGCTATAAAAGCCAACATCTCGATTAAAAAAACCACTATGGATTTTAATTGGTAGAAGGCGGTTTCTTCCTCTAATTTTAATTTTTTAAGCCGATGACTTTACAGCCCTGGAGAACATAACAACTGCGGCACTAATACAAGCATTTCCACAGTAACCTGCCAATGTGACTCAAGCATGGCTTGACAGGGCCATCTTCAAGGGTGAGGGGGGCAGAGAGGCTCTAGGAGCATTCAGTCCATGATTTGGCTGTAAGGGCAACAACTGTAATGCTTTGTGTAATATGAATTTTAATGGGAAGAGGGTGTCCAAAGCCCTTAGGCAGATTTGACAGCTTTGGCCTCTGTGTGTCTGTCTTAATTAATTTTTAGTATTTGCAAAACAGGTTTAGATCATCAGATTAATGAGAGTGTATATGTCCAAAGTAGTAATACAATTTTATTACTGTATTACTTCATAAAATGACCACATTTAAAAAAAAAAAAGGTCCAAACATCAATTCAGTTTTTAAGTACATAAGCCAGTGTATCTTCTAACATCTGAGGACAAAGTTGGACCTTGGTAGTAAACAGTTTTCACCCTCCATAGACATCTTCAGGGATTGCTTTAATGAGAATGAAAAATCTTTGATTAAAGAGAGATTAAAATAGTAGCTTAGCCCAGAAGATTTAAATTTAATAAACACACATATGTAAAAACCCCACAGATTCTGAAACACAAAGCGTGGCTAGTCTTACCACGGTTTCCTTCTCAGGCAATAATCCATTCCCCTAGAGTAATAGTAGTATATTAGCATACTTTCTTTTTGTGTGACCCATCCTGTTGGCTTCTTTTAAGGCTCCCACTTGCTGTACTCCAAGCAGTGAAGCAGAGGATCCAAACAGTTTATCATATTGCAAATAAGTGCATGTATTGATTTAAAAAAAATTTTTTTTTTTTAAATCTCAATTTGTTACCTAAAACTTCAATAGGGAATTGTATCTGATGATTCACATTCATCACCCCTTCCATAGCACACTTCTGTTTAAACCTAAGATAACTAGAAAATATAGTATTGAGGTAAAATTCTAATAAATCTTTGACACAAGCTACTTTGAATATTCCCTTGTAGGATGCAAGGCCCTTACCCAAAAGAGACCTATGCTAGGCTTTAAGCGCACACACGCTAAAAATTGCCTCAGACTTCAAGGCAGTTGGCCATAATTTGATGTCAGATAGCTGTTATCACCTGCTTTGTTGTAAGATTCCTTTCAATTTGTATAATTTCTGTGACTGGGATTAGAGTATTGCTAAATTCTCATTTGTGCGAAAGCTTCAGATGATCTCTTTAGTTTTAAATCTCAGAGCAGAAAAGAAACACCGATTAGAAAATTAGAATGTGGCATTTTTTACAAATTGATTTATTATAGTTTCTCTGATGAAGGGAAAGGGAAAAGGAAAATTCCTTCCTATATGCATCTAATTTCTGAAAGAAAAAAGAGAGGCGATTTGAGCAGTGAACTTTGCTTTTGTTTCAGTGCTGTGCTACGAAAGGCCGATGGAGAAATGTCTCGTGAAAGTTTAGGGGGGGGAAAAAAACCAAAACAGGTAGAAAAACTTTTCTCAGTGGAAGCTCCTGAAGATTCCTAACCTTTTGGCAAAACTTCTTATTTTGAAACACATAGCTAAGACATTCCATCAGAAAAAAATAGCTAGGACAGAGTACCACTAAATGTTGTCTGAACATTAGTACAACCTTCAAATGGAATTGTATCCATGCTTGCAGATCTTACTGTACCACATGCAACTATGAGCAGCAAGGAACGCCCTATGAACAGCATCACAGTTAGCTCTCAGCCAAAACTACTACGGCTACAGTTCGCTGATGAATGGAGTAAGAGAATGCAGAATCTAGATATTATTCTAGAAATTAAAAAAAAAACCAAACCAAAAAGCCCACAACAAAACCCTTTGGTACAGCTTTTGCACCAAGAAGTCCCCTCTGCTTCCCACAAAAGAGGGAGCACACTTATGCAAGGCCTTTCTTTACTAAACCTGGAGTAGGGTCAGAGACTCCAGGTAGTGCCCTAGAGACTCCTCTGCTGCCAGTGGGTTGACAGTGAAATGCACTGAACTGTAACTGTGTTGAGTGAATGTAAAAAACTTGAAAACACAGTGTTTCTTTTTCCAGATGAGTCTGACTTATGCCTTTGCCATGTAGTGCATTCCTTTTTCTTAAAGCATCGAAAGATTCTGGTTTAAAAGGAACATTGTATTAATAGTTTCTCAAGCCACAATAGTTTCTCTTAAGCCACTTTCTATGGAGTTGACCCTGTTTGAGTGAAATGAATGAGAATTTTCCACTGATTTCAATGGATATATAATCAGTGGCTATAAAACTACACAAATTAATCACCCTGATGGAATTAGAGATTATACCTTTCTTAGGCACATAAGCATAACTTTTAAGCGTGGTAACTTATCGTACTATATTCAGGATAAATTAACCTATGTCATACACAGTGTTCTAAGTCTGCTTTAGTAGACAATGCAGAAGAGAGGTTCTTACCGCAGTCTGCTGGCCCATATGCTTTAAAAGCAGTAAACTTTCCAGTTTTGGGAGTTCAGCCAGTACGGGCATTTCTTTAGCAGGCTTCAAAAAGTGAGCTGCTTTAAAATTTGGCTACCTGTCTCAGAGTACTTAGCATATTCGTACTTTGCAAATATTTTCTTCTTTGAAATGTTACAGTTCTGTATCAGGATATTTCAAGTATTCATGACAAAAACCTTAAGTAAAGACCGTAGTTTTGCCAGACGAAGCTCTCTTCCCTCCTTGAATTTAAGATTTTAGGGTCAGTTTACCCTGTGCCTTGTAAACACGGTCCTCCTTCTAATGCTATTGTATAATGCAATCACTTAGGGGTCCTCACTAGCATCTGACTGTGTTGGATTCACTTAGGACTTAGCTTAATGTTTGATTTTAGTGTATCAATTAAAGAACTGTATGCGTCTCTGCTTAGAAGTAACTATATTGCTGGAGAGCAAGTTTATAAAAGTGTCTTTTATTTGCTTGTCCTTTGAGAAGCCTTGTGCTTTAAAATCTTGCTGCAAAAACACTTAGAAGGTTATCACAGGTAGAGTTGTCCGAGAAAATGGACATTGTTGTTTGGTATTAAAATCATGTTTTCCAGATGTGGGCATTTGTTAGTCAGTCTGCTCTAAAATGACATTCTGTTGAATCTTTAAAGGGCTTCAGTTTGGGAAAGCAAAATATGATTGGGCAAATTGCTAAAATATTTAAAGTGCAGCCTGTTAAAGCTTTTACTGTGAAGAGCATCACGTCAGAAGTTGTATGTGGTAAAAGCAAGTAATTGGCTTTCCATACTTATGCCAGTCAGTCAGCATGGGGCTCTGTTTCTGTCCCTTCTACTTCATTGCAGATGCTAATAGCAACTCCGATATTTATTTTGGAGGGGTGGGACTGGAAAGAAAAAGAACTTTTGTGGATGTGATGGTGTCAGAAAGCCCTGTTTAAAATTAGACTTTTATTGGTGTAGAAAGAGTATAGAAAATCTTCGAAACTGCACCCAAAATTTAAAAATTAACTTTTTTTTCTTTTCAGCTTTTGTTTAAAAGTGCCCGCATTGAAAGCATGTTAAAGCGTAAATACATTTCATTTTTTCACTTTTATCCCTCTTTGTACACAGCTCTTGGGATGTCTTTCCATCCATAATTCATAATATTTTCCACTTATGTTGTCCTCAACTTGTTTTTCCCCAGGCATGACCCCTTGTTAATTCCTGGCAACGAGCAGATTGACAATATGGATGCCAATGTGAAAAAATATGATTCTACAGGGATGTTTCATTGGTGTCCGGCCAAGGACATTGAAAAGGTCATTTTGGTAGGTATTGATGATAAGCTGTGTTTGAAAAGAGGTTATCTGAACCATAGAACTGATGTCTAATGGATTAATAAATTAATCTCCGCTATCATGAAATCCAGCGTATTGAAATCAGAAACACAGCATGGTGAAATCAAAGCTAGAATTTTGGTTAAAGAATTCTAATTATATAAATCTGTATGCCAAGTGCAACGATAAAATTGGTCCAAAATAGAACATTTCTTTTTCATAAGCTGAAATTTGCATATTGAGTTTAAATCTTTAGAGAATTAAGATTGGAAATATTTAAATGTTTACACACCCCATTTATCTCTTTAGACAAGGCAGTAATGGTTCTAATACAGGCAAGTGTTGCTTTGAATTATCTCTTATTTATTTATGTGAATTTTGCTCTCTTAGAACTTCTCTCTCAATTTCCAACATTTCAAGATGCCCAAATAGGCCAGAGTAAGTAGTACTACTACTCTGCCTTTCTAGCATGCTGCAGTGAGCCTAGTCTGTTTGTTTCGTTTGTTTAACTGGGGAAACCATCAAACTGACTCAAGTCATTAAAAATAATTAGAAGGCCTATCACAGTCTATTTTGCTCGGTGAAAGTTTGTGCCACTTGTGTTCATGTGCTCATACCTAAGAGTAACAAGTAACTAACTCCAGATCTCATACGCAAAACTGATGATATTTGAAATGAGCTCCCTGGTGGATCTTCACTTTGTCGCACTTCATAAAGCTTTTCCTGAGCCTGCTCTCTTAGATTTTCCTGCACTGTGGCGTGGTGTAGCCGACGATGGTGACAGCCCCGGTTTATTCCAGCAATCAGGGGTTAAAAGCTTGTCTCCACTTCTCCTCAGGGGTTTCTGTAATAACCGTGACATTGCCTGGAATTGCAATATCAGTGCTTAAACAATCAAGCAAGTAAATTCCGAATTCTAGAGACTGCGCTGTGAGACGGGGTTTGGCTGAACAGCTTTAAATAGTCTGCATTTATATGTATTCAGCAGGCAAGGAGGGGCAGCCCTGCTGTACAATACTTTGTCATAGACAGAGATAGAAATCTGCCTTCATGCTCTAAACACATTCTAGCAGACAACCTTCACATGTTGTCCCACTTTGAAAAGTGTTTCTCCAAAAATGGCGCTGTGGAGTGCCTCATTTATCATCTCTTGGTGATGCCATGTCAGTTTTTCCCCCGACTAGCCTGTGAATCTGTAAGTCTGGCCAGGTTCTTTCTGCTTCATGCATCATCACCAATAAAGACGCTGCCAGCAAAATGCTTCCCTGCGCCTTTTCAAACTCACAGTCCACAATTTATGTCTGCATTCATATCCGTGCAAATTTAACGCGGTCCTTAGAGACCACACAAGTACAAATTAGTACATAATTTGAAGATGATGGGATTTCCCAGGTTGTCTTCTAATAGATACTGGATGATGCCTCAATCAGAGAAGAATTCATTTTTCTGCCCAAGGTCTGTTTTGGCTCTGTGAGATTCCAGCGCTATCAGGTAGTAAGAACTTTTTTTGACATACAGTCAAATGTACGTGGCTACATACAGATCAATGACTATAGAGTGACATTTTTTACTTAATTTCTTTCAAGACTTGATCTCTGTCTTGTGAAGTCAGAGCATTCCAGTCCCATAGGCAGAGGCATGGGACAACTTACACACTTCACTTGAGCATTCGCTCATGTCTTCTGCTGTTTGAAGGGCCAAGACCACTCTCTTGGTAGAGTTGTATGAAAATCAGTGTAATTGCCCCAGGGAAACTGAAAGCTCATGTATTTCTTAACTGATGAGAAAACTTCTAATCAGAGTTCCCGTTCTTCTTACATAGTGAAAACCTCTGCTGCGTATTCCAATCTGTATTGCACATTGTCATGCTTCCGTAATTTAGAAAAAGGACATATACTATGGGTAAGTGAGGGGAAAATTTTGCAGTTCACCATTGTCTTAGTTTTATTCAGTGGCAAAACTTCTATGTAATGGTACTGAGTGTACAGCTTCTTGGCAATACGACATCAGTGGATCTGCAGCTACTTGATGGAGTGCAATAATGCTAAGACTGGCTCCAGAAATGAAGGTAATTTTTTCTTAATGACTTTATTTAATCATCTTGGTGTTTGAGTTGCCGGCTCAACTGACATTACCACTGATGAAATTAGTGCAAAAATTTATTCTTGTCACTGAGACAAGAAGATAATTCCGAACATCATTTAAATGTTCTCCATGAGACTTTTTTCCTTCTATCTATTCAACAACTCAGGAAGTCCAGGGGGCCTAAAAAGTTAGTCACGATCTTGCACACTAGTTTTTTCTTACTGAGAGAAGCTCTGTGGAGTATGGTGGGCACCTGTTGTAAAGCAGAGCAGTGTAGAGTGTTCTTTGATTGCTTCTCAGGGTAGTAGCAGCTTGTCCTAAAATAAGAACTTTGACTCTAAGAGAAAACGGTCCTCAATTCACAAGATATATGTAATATCACAAAGCCTGCTAAGACCGTTGGGCACTCACGTTTTCCTTTTCAAATTGGTCCTGAAAAAAACGCACTAGTGATTCGTCAGCTAAGGCATGGTTTTGCATCTCTTTTCTATAATCCTTCTAATGGCTAAATGCATAGTAGGTCAAATTCTGTTCTTAGCTAAACCCATAGTACTTTGATTGTAACCAGAGTCTTAATACACATGTGCAGAAACGTATACAGGACCAGAATGTGGTCCAGTACAATGTCTTCCCAAACACTGAAGGATTTGCAAACAAGAACAAAATTTTCTTCTGCTGAGCACGTTTGATGAAGGATGAATAAGGGTAAAATGAACAGCTGTTATCAAACCGCTTCTTTGTGCATGAACAATATTGACAGTTGTGTTTTTCCTGGTTTAAAACTCAATATATGATTTAAATTTCCCTTTGTTTCATTTCTCCCTTGTCTTTTTGTTTTGTTTTTTTTTTTTTAGACTCGAAGTGAAGCAGCGATGACAGTTTTAAGTGGGCATGTAGTCGTTTGCATATTTGGGGATGTTAAATCTGCTTTGATTGGATTAAGAAATTTAGTGATGCCATTACGAGCCAGCAACTTTCACTACCACGAACTCAAGCACATTGTGTTTGTGGGTTCACTTGAATACCTGAGGAGGGAATGGGAGACGCTGCATAACTTCCCCAAGGTTTCAATCTTGCCTGTAAGTCCAAAGCCATATTGTTGATACTTTGTTATTTAGGACACCAACTGGACAGATTCGTATTGACTTTGATCTTAGGCTTTTTTACTTTTGTCTGCTTATAGGCCTGAGGACCTAGATTTTTCCCTTTACTGTGTCTATGAAAACAGAGCCCTGTGAGACCTTATTAGACGATATTTGCCACAGTGTTTGGTTCCTCGTCATCCTCATCGGATGAATTTCAGCTGCCATCAAATGTGTTAGCTGTGTTATATATCGAACATTCACTGTAGTGCACTGCATGTAGCCAGTTCTGATGCTGTGATTTCCCTGACAGAATGACAGTAGTTATTTATGACATTATTTATGTATTTATACCACAAAACCTTTGAAAAAAATTATTGTTGCTCTATCTATATTCATAACAACTTTCTGTAGGCTGGCCTACTTTATAAGGAACATTGCCATAGCATTTCAGTTCAGAGTCCTGCCATACTCATGTACAGCAAAACCCTGACCCTATTGAAATCGATGAAAAGCTCCTATTGATTTTAGTAGGGACAACCACTAAAACCACAGTTCAAAGGTCCTTTTTCTCCTATATATGATTATCATTCACTCGTGTACCCAAAATGTAGAAACATGAGCTGCAGGACAAACAAATTAAGCCCTCCAAGCTAGCGATCTTGGGTGGTCATAGCTATAAATGACCCACAAAGACATAGGCAGGAGGGAAACGAGCCCACGGTGTAAGTACGAAAGAGAATGCTCTGTACGTTACAGAGTAAAGTTAGTTTGTATGTTTTTATCAGAATGAAAAATTAGGAATTTACCAGTTCTTAATAATTACCTTTCAGCAGTTAAAAAGAAATAAATCAGTGATGGATGTAACCTAAACTGAATAATTGGGAAAATAGCTATAGAATGGAAAGACTGCCTTCACTTCTGATTAATTCAGGCTGTAGGTCTTTGTTACTGTAAATGCAGTTTTAGTGTTAGCCCTTGGCTTTTTTCTGTAAACTGATCCAACAGATGGTGTCACAAGATTCTCTGCTGTCACAAAAATGGTGTCAATATCAGATTTGGTCAGTTAATATCTTCCTCTTCCTGCCAATCCCTTTTAATTCCAGTCACTGTGAAGGCTAAAGACTAAGGAATCAGAATTAAATTAATAATACTGTTGAACTGTGGAGCAGAATAGAATCCAGCTACTACTTCCAAACTATCCAGTATATAATGTGTATCCATGATAATAATGCATATTTGTAAAGTTTCAATTCTGAATTCGAAGAGGCATTAAGGAAACGTACACCACCTTTACATTCCCCAATCGGTTTGCACCCAAATTTAAAGTATTTTCGGACTAATTTCAAGTTAAGCAGCTTAAATAGTTAGGTAATGCACCTTTAAAAATACAGAATATGTAAAGGAATTGTATCTTACACAGTAATCAAGGGTGCTGAAGACCACACAGACTTCATTACTGCTTTTTCTTTTTTTTTTCCCAGCCTATCTGGTTCAAAATGATGATACAAAGTTAAAAATATCAGCATTATTCTGATCTAATTATACTAATTTAAAAGTCTGCTAAAGTTTCTGAGATCATACTGGTAGGAATTATGTGTTAAAGGGAGGCCACTCAAACTCTTTTCCTACTTCCCTGTGCTTTGGTTCACGAGGTAAAACTTGCTGCTGATATCTGATGGGGATGTGGTTACAGCTGAACATAAAAACATTTGTTCTGCTTTAAAAAAAAAAAGTGGAAATTTCATTTAAAGTCTGTATTAAAGGAGGCATTTAAGCTGCTGAGTAAACTCTTAAAAAGTAAGCAAATGCCAATTTTAAATATCCTCAGGCAGCCTTAATTCTGTCCCTTTGCATAAAATCATTAGGAGTAAGCCTTTAATTAATTACATGATTGCATATTATTTTTCCCCACAGGATTCCTGCTTCACTTGGTGCACAGTACAGACACAAAGGGCAGAATTAAGGTGGCAAGAATAATCATATACGAACTTCTGAGTACTTTATAACTAAATCATATCTGTTCAATATATACTGTTTTCCACAAGGTTTCATGCCTCAAATTATTGAAAGTAATGTGGAACAGTGAGGCTGGTATCTGAAACTAGGTGGCAATCACTGAATAAGAATTGAGCTCTGCCTTCACTTTGTGCATTTTAAATTCACTTTTGCATTGAATATTCTCAGTGGAGTTCAGGAGACATTCACCATGAGTGATCAGGAGATAGAAGAGTAGGGTCTTGACTCGGTTTTATGAAAGTCACTGTCTGACAGGGGGACAGCTTAGTCTTCTTATCATCATTAGGGTATTTGGGTACCAAACCATGTGAGGCAGCAGAGCAGAATCTAGTTTCCATAAAAAATCTTTTTTTTCCTGGACCTTGCAGCCCCTGTGACATAGACTTAATATTCTGTAACTAGAGATGTGGACTGTTGGGTGTGAAAGGCAAGCGTTATCTTTAAACAAAACATAATGGGTTAAGTGTCATGTCTCGTTTGTGTTACCTATGAAAAAAACCCACGGACTACCACAACATTTAATTTTAGTTATTGCGTTCTCTGATTGAGAATTGTGGAAGCAGGGAATGTTGCCTGATTCGTGCCCATTAAGATAAAGTCTTGTTTCTGTTTCAAAGGGTTTAATCACACAGCTTTGAAGATCAGTGTGTTTTCCTTCTAGAAGCACCAAAAACATGCGTTGAAAAGGATTAACCTTTTTTGTGTATTGCTTCGGGTAGAAAAAAATAGCTTTATCCTGATTGCATTTCAAATGTGTAGGACACATAATGCTTTCCTGTTTAAACTGCTATTCTTTTGCCCAAGACCATTGTGACTCGGTAGTAGATAAATAGACATTTAAAACACACCCCTTGTTATATTCAGAGAGCCAGAGGTTGCCACATGATAGCAACTTAAATCAAGACAATTTCAAGTCACCAATGAGATGTAGAATGCTGGCATTATTCCTGTTTCTTGTTTGTTAGTAATAGCTTGACTGAGGATTGAGACTGCACCTAAAATGCTGCCATCAGCACCAACTACCCTTTAGATTAGCACACATCTCCTATTCCCTGGCACATAGTTAGACCAGCTTAATGTCAGAGCATAAAAAAGATACTTGTTAAATAATTTCCCAAAGCTCCTTCTCAATCTTTAATTTGTTTTTTTTTTTTTTTTTTGTCTCCTGCCCCCCCGCCCCCACCTTTTTTTTTTCTCTGTGCCAAAGGGTACGCCATTAAGTCGGGCTGATTTAAGGGCTGTCAACATCAACCTCTGCGACATGTGTGTTATCCTGTCAGCCAATCAGAATAATATTGATGATGCTTCGCTGCAGGACAAGGAATGCATCTTGGCGTCACTCAACATCAAATCTATGCAGTTTGATGACAGCATTGGGGTCTTGCAGGCTAATTCTCAAGGTAAGGACTGCCCTATAATACTTCTCTGCAGTGCCTACAGGGGACAGGACCTGGCAGGAAGAATATCCCTCACTCAGTAATTCAAAGAGCCCTACATCAGCTTGCTTGACAGTTAAACCTGCTGATTGGTATGATGGCTTTTAAAGGGACAGTCACGTAGTTTCTCTGCTACATCACAAAGCACATCTTGCAGAGGAAAAATGAATGAACGTGAAACTGGCATTTTTCCTCATTTTAAAATGTTCCTAAAAAATAGAAAATCATTGCTTTCTCACCCTGCCCTGCTCTGTGGCTTTCTTACCAGGGCAGTTGTTATATAGCCAAAGCTAACTCACACTCACTTCGGAATACCTGAAGCCTCTGTCTAACAAGATTTCTTTTTTACGTAAAGCACATTGCAACCACAGAGAAAAAGAGCTGAGTGATACAAGCCAAAAAGTAAAATAAAAAGAATGAGAATTTTAAATTGTCTTTACAGTTCCTGTGCCTTCTTGCTCAAAAAGCCACTTAGAATTAACTCAAAGCTGATTTCTTCCCATGGTTTGACATGTACTCGTCCCATTTAAGGACATTGAACAAAATCCTTCGGTCTTTGCTGAGAGTAGGGGACTTTCATAGGTAGCCAAAGGCTATTTTACACCAACTGTGTCTGTGCAAAGCAGCTGCAAAGCAGTCATAAGCACCCTGGCAAAGACCATCAGTGTAAAAACAATCATCTTCCCATCCCTGAAGGGTCTTGCAGCTTATGCAGCTGAAGTCTTACCTTTGATACACCTATTAAGTGCTGCAGTAAATATTCCCTCTGCATCTAGCCCTGCTAAAAAGGTAGGTGTAGAAAGGATAGTGCTTTGGTCTGCAGTTTCCCCATGAGCCTGACCTAGAGATAGTTTTACCTCAAGGTCTGCGAGAACTAAGATTAAGTTCAGTTTTTCCTCTTTACGTTCTAATCAGGAAATAGGAATTATGAGCCAAAAATCAGAGGCAGCGGTGTAACTTCTTGAATATGGAAACTTCTTGAATGTGAAAAATTCTTTCTTAGAATCAGCAATAAAACTGTGGGATTTAATACTGGAACTAACTTGTACCAGGAAACTAAAAGTTTGAAATTTTCCAAGTCAGGTTGGATAGTTCTCTAGATAACAAGTAGATTTAGAGAAGAAGAGGAAGGAAGTGTTTTTCCCATGGGTGTTTGATGTTTCAAATCTGTGGCCTGGAAGCAATACAACCCCAAATATTTTAGAGTTCTTCCCTTAAAAATGTGTGAGACTGACTTGCTCACACTATGATAACTTATGATTAGGAAACTCATTGCAGAAGTGGAAGACAGGCATGGAGGTTCCTTGTTTTGCTGATTTAGACCTGGGATTTGAAATTTTGTACCTCAAAACCAAATGTGTACTTTCACTACCAGGCTATCGGCTATTCTTTGGTGGGTCTCTCTCAGCCTCCTATCATACATGTAATTAAAATCATCAAGAAATAGAATCTGTTTGTCTCACCCCTTTCCTCCCTTCCTTCCTGTTCTTGAGCATGGGCAGTCTGAGAGAATTTCCTTCTTCTGCCTTTGCTCAGAGGTTAGTCGTATTTCCAACACTTGGCTGTTGTATTTTACCTCTGGGAGTACCCTGGATCTTAGACCACCCCTGAATGAGGATGGAAGAACCTAGCAATATGAGAGTCTGGTGCACTACGTGAACACATCCATCCTTGGAGGTATTCAAGACCTGACTGCATAAAGCCCTGAAGAACCTGATCTGACCTCATAGCTGACCCTGCTTTGAGCAGGAAGTCAGACTAGAGACCCTCTGATGTCCCTTCCAACCTGAATTGTCCTATGATTCGATAATATCCAGGTCGCTGCTACAGCATAGCCCCTGTAGATCAGGAAGTGTAGACTGGGACCATGGTCCAAATCCCTTCAGCCCTATTCAACGTTGCTGATGCAGAGAAGCAGAGGCGCAATAGGTTAGCACATACTTACAAGTTTTGGACATTTCTTCAGGTAAATATCAGTCTGCATGCAAAAAAAAAAGTGTCTCTTTCTGTAGCTTTTCTGGGGAAACAGGGCATAACGTAAGGAGGTAACCAGCAGCCTATTTCAGTTGGGAGCACTGACTAGGGAGGGGTTCTTCTAAAACCAGTTGCTTCAGAAAATAATTATCTTCCCAGTAAATTCTCTGCTTATGCTATCCACAACTCCTGAATTGGTTGCATTGCTTTCAGTACAGTAAATTTTCTTGAAAGACCTTGAATGCAATAGTTAGACTGTCAGAAGCAATTAGATCAATAGATAGCACAAACTTCACTGGGAGTTACATCCAATGTGACATTTTTGTCTATGAGATGCAGTTTTAACGTACGGTGGACACAACTATCATGACAATTATATAAACCAGGTAATTCAACTTCTGCTGGTCAACAAGCAGCATACTAGAACCACCTCACAGCTCCTTACCGGCAATTAAGAACCTTTATTTACAGAGCGAGCTGTCATTTTACTTTTGCTTAAACATTTGTGTATTATTTGACATACTTACTTGTCCTTAACGCATTAGCTGGTACAAACCTTAAGTGTTGCCAATCTGAGTTTTTCTAGATCTGAAGGTATGATTTCGAATTAAGTCATTCCTCACCAGC